AAAAAAGTCAAAATAAATGCCGAAATCGGTTATATTATCTGCTCTTTTATCAATAAACACAATTCTGTCAGTTAGAGAAGGCTTCCAGCAACAGTAACAAGCAAGGAATATCACCCCTAAAACTGTGCAGCCTCCAACAATAATTGTGCTGTACAGTTGTTGTGATGACAGGAAAAACTACCATGTATAAAAAACCATATCCATATAAACCCGCATTTTCTAAAACTACCACAACGATATAAATCACGAAACGTCGACTCTCACGTAATTGAAACATATATGGCCAATATATGAGTGATGGTAAACCGAAAAGGAAAAATACTAATATGAAATAATACATTTTCCTCTGACGCGATAATAGCGACGGTGTCGGGTTTTCAGAAGTGCCAATTTCATGCGACTTCCAGACGAGTGTCGAAATCCAAACAGAAAACAATAAAGCGTGGATAATTGAAAACCCCAGAATGCCGTAGTATATGACAGACGTAGCCAAAGCGAAAACTACCGCACGTGAAATAAAAATTGATCCCCATCCTAAATAAGAGAGAATACTAGATAATACACCATCGTCTTTTCTTTTGACTGCACATAAAAGGGTCTTGACACTCAGAACTGAAGCCACCAGTTCCCACGTGGCTGTAAAAACATGAAATAAAACAGGTAAAGCCGATAAATATTTATTGTATTTCAAGACTGAAAATTAACTAATGTTCTGATTATAGATTTATATACTCCTTGGGACAAAAACATCTCTATCTTAACGTTTTGGTGAATTTAACTATAAACTCTCACCTACGACAATTTCTTTAAATTGGTTTTCGATTTAGATTACGTAAGGATTTGGGTCTAACGTGAAATGTTCTATTCGTAACTGTTGCCAGCTAAGCTAACATAGAAAATACCAGAACAAAACTTTCCTTCTTAAGAACAATGTAGTGTAATCATCATAACGAGTAAGAAATAAGTGTTATGATAATTGCATGTATACTATGAATTATATTACATTCTTGAGACATTGAATAATTTTGTTCATTCGTACTTCTATAGAAACTAGTTAAAGTTTTAACTTAATCACTGAAGGTCGTTTATAATAAATTTAATATAAGTAACATCTAACTTTTTGTATACTCAGTTAGCCTGATGAGATTTGGTATTGAGTTAATAATTAGTTTCAAATAATGTGATACTGTCATTACCAAAGAAGCCGTAACTGCGAATAATGTAGTTTGTTCTGTGTATAAAAACCTGCATTATTAATTCGTATGAATTATCAGGAGACCATTTACAAACAATGGGGTAATCAAACAAATAAATAAATAGATGAGATGTTATAAAAAACAACAACGAAAAACAGAGGAACTGTAAATGCAAACAACACAAGAGATGTGTAATGTAATCACCTGTGAATTAATCATGTATATTTACAAGCTTTGTTTTCAGTATTTACATCGACTGTAAACATACTAATAGTGCTGGAAAACAGCCCTGGCCTATGATAAAGAAATGTATACAGTTCTGTTTTGCCGACTGGATACGAAGTGCCTTTTTTATATTAATAATGGTAAAATACAACTATTCAGTGTATCAGATAAATATAAAATATATATAAATAAAACAGGTGAATTTTAAGTTATCTAATTTAAAGATGCTACTTACAAAGAGTATTAAAATCTATCTTTCCATCGAAGTAAGATACCAATATGTACAGTTGGAGAACAACTTGTACAAATCCTGAGTAGAAATCCAGAAAGAACTGTAAGACCAAAGCGTTTCTTTCCAGTTCGTTGGCTGTTTTTTTTTCTTTCTTGTTTGGCGCTCGAAACGGACACACTCGTGGTACAACAAAATTCAAAACTTCAACATGTCTGGAAATATATAGCACTGTGAAACATTTATACAGTAAATCTTTGCATAAACGTATAAAATTCGATATTAGAGCCGTGTGTGAATTGATCATTTTCTCAATTACATTCAAATAAGTATTTGTAATAAACTGAAAGAAACTGTAGTTTACCTGTAGCACATTTGTTACACTTGAAAAGTCTTACGAAAAAAAACTATGAAAAGTGAGAAAACAAACATGCCGGGGATTGGCTGGTTTTGCAAAACACCCAAAAGTTTTATCCTACGAGTTACGTACGGTAGGTGGTGTCTGTAGGCGTTTGTTCCTATACAACGAATCTTGTATTTGGATAAGATTTTAATTTTTTTTAAAATCGTATTAAGCATAATAAAAGATATAATAAATAAAATTTACACTATACCAGTGATTAGTTCTAAATTTCTTTTGTTTACGTATCACTTGAATTTTATATACATATCTTGGTGGACTACAATGGGATTTATACACTACAAGATATGCGGTAAATTCTTCGAAAACAATCATTCAAAAAACAATTCTTTGAAACATACATTCGCAAGCATTACGTGTTCACTACATAATTAGCACTACAAATTTTCACATACCACGCTAGTTGTATAGTGTTCGTTTCATTTTAAATACCTTAATAGCAAAAACATGACACTAAGGTCACAATGCAGTTCAAGCGATAACACACCCGTAATGTCAATGACCTTGACCTCACCTGACAGCTGAGCAAGTGATGAAGTGATCCGTGGCGGTATTCTTTATTGTACCGGTCATAATATGACACTTGTGACACTTTGATGCACGCTCAAATGACAAAAAAAAAAAAAAGAAAAGAAAAAAGATCCCTGACCAAGGAGTAGTTTTACTATGAATAGAAATGAAAATTGTTTTGATGATGTGTTAACTTGAATCCTATGATCCCGGCTCTAAAAAGGGACCACTCTATTAAACTGTTAACTAAGAAACAGTCAAGCAATCTTAAATACATTAATCAATGTTGTTATACTCTAACCAATAGCTAATTAGGTAATCTTTTTAAAATCTCAAATGCTTGAAAATCCATTTCAATACTTCTAACAATTACAATTTTCATTTCATTGTCTAATCTATGATTTATCACGTGTTAACAATAGATCACGTATTTCTTTGAACTGGTGCGCTTTCGTCATAGCTCCATTTTACGAACGCCGTATCAACACTACAGCCAAGACATATCTCAACACGAGCCTTCAACTTCTTTATGGTCATAGCTTTCCCCGAATGCCTTGTGGCAAATAAACCGCTTATTTCACACTCTAATCATAGCCAACCACCTAATAAAACTACTGCATAAATAATTGCAACTTCTTACCGAACTTTAACTTAGTTAACTCAAATCCTAGGCTCTATTTTGACGCATACTCGCATAAAATTTAAACCATAATATCGTGTGTGGGGTGAAAGGAAGTACTGTTCCTGAGCACCCCTGGTTGTCTCTCATGCCTCTTTGGGGCTTGTTTGATTTTTAAACCAAAATACCTGCTAAATGTTTCCTTTCCTTTTCATCTGTTAGTCTCTGCCATTGCTGCTGAGGTGTGTTGATGAATCTGAAACGTCCCTAGAAGTGCGTTTGAAAGTGCCAACGACTATCCATTAGCCACTATATAAGAATAGTCCTGTGAAATGATTGTAAAGTTAATCGAGAAAGGTATTCTAAATTTATTATAAACTGGTTTCCCCGAAATGTTAAATCTTGTTGAGACTCAAGTTAAGAGTTGAACGGATATTTACTTATTAAAGACAGACAAGTGAAGGAAAAAGATTATTGGAAATGTGAGCAATTTGAAAAGAAAATCCGAAGGTCGTATGATAAAAATGGTGACAACCAGATGTGCCAGCTTCAGAGGACTGGGCTATAGTTTACCAAATCGTTGTTCCTAAAGCATATCGTTCTGAAATATTGAAAGTTGCCCACGAATTCCCCATGGGAGGTCATTTAGGTGTCAACAAGACATGTAACAAAATAATGAGATATTTCTTTTGGCCAAAAATTAGGCAAGGTGTTTTTTTTTCAGTTTTGCAAAACTTGTCATACCTGTCAGGTTCAGTCAGAAAACTTAAACAGAAAATTCCTTTTGCTTCTCTGAAACCTATCCCAGCTTTTGAAGAACGTAAGTTCCGTCCTGAGGACATGGTCTTAGTATTGTTACCCACTATGGGATATCTAATAAAAAAAAAAGACAGAAAGAAAGGAAGAAAAAAAAAGACAGAAACAATGAAAAAAAAACACACAAACAAAACACATGGTTGTTAAATTGCAGTTTATCACCATGAGAATATGGTTTGAAGATAATCCATGTCATAAGGGTTGATAACATTTGTGCCGATGTACTTTCATGTACAATGAAATTTTATGATCATAAGGTAATTTGTATTGGCTTTGTTCTATACTGTAATGATTATTGAACTTGTATAATCATTTGAATAATGTATTATATATAATGTAATGTTGTCAATATGTATATAATATCATAGTTAAAAATTGTCTAAAGCCAATTTTTAATTCTCTGAGGAGGAAGTTGTTTGTTTGTTTTTGAATTTCGCGCAAAGCTACGCGAGAGCTATCTGCGCTAGCCGTCCCTAATATAGCAGTGTAAGACTAGAGGGACGGCAGCTAGTCATCACCACCCACCACCAACTCTTGGGCTACTCTTTTACCAACGAATAGTGGGATTGACCGTCACATTATAACGCCCCCACGGCTGAGAGGGCGAGCATATTTGGTGTGACGGGGATTCGAACCCGCGACCCTCTGATTGCGAGTCGAGCGCCCTAACCACCTAGCCATGGGAGGGAGTTGTAACGAATTTGTTATTATATATTTATTTAAATATCAACGTTTGTTTCGATTAACTTTATATTTTAAAACATTCATAGCTTATAGTGTTAAATATGTATTGCAAAACTCCCGCCTATTCTCTAAAGTTGTAGAAGATTTTCGAGAGTAAG